TGATGATGAAGATACACTTGGTGCTTTTGCAAAATTTTATGGAAAAACTGTATGTACTGAATCATCTGTAACAGATGACAAGAAAATTGAAAACAATCAATCAAATGTAGTTTCAAAATCAGATAATAATACTGAAACAAACAATGTTATTAAAAGTAATTCTATTGTTAAGAATGAAGTTGTAAATAATTCTATTGTTAAGAATGAAGTTGTAAGTAATTCTATTGTTAAGAATGAAGTTGTAAGTGATTCTAATGTTAAGAATGAAGTTGTAAGTGATTCTTTAAGTATGAATATTCCTTTAGATGTAATTAAAAATACTAAAAGATTACCTATTGATTTTATTAAGTTATTATTAGATCATTCTAATTATCAGGATTCTGTTGATAAGTTTATAGAAGAGAATATAATTACTGAGAAGAAAGATGACTTTGTTAATAATATTAATGAAGATGTATTAGAAGATAAGATTGAATCATTAGAAACGAATAATGTAAAAGAGGAAGATAATTCATATAGTGAGGCTTATGCTACTAACAACTCAAGTAGACATGAAAACCTTTTAGAAGAGTCATTCTCAGATAATAATCAAAGCGAGTTGACTTCAATCAGTGATTGTAAGAATTCTAAATCAACTTCTATTCAATCTATAAAGAAGATCAATTAAGTGATAATGATAAGGATATTAAAAATGATATGATTATTAATGAGACTTTTGATTCACTTATTAACAAGAATAATTTAAATGAAAAAGGTAGTAAGGTTAATGAATTAAAGAAAGATAATATTAAGAAGTCACCAATATTTGGTAGTGATGATAATGACTTTGAATTACCAATTAAGAATAATTTAGATAAGAGTAAATTACCAATAAAGAAGAATGAATTAAGTAAGAAAAAGGAAGTTAAAAAAATTCCATTATTTGACAGTGATGATGATTATGACTTCCCGGCACTGATTTGATTGGCGCCCCATCTTTTAGTTTTAATCCGTCAATTGGATTGGCGCCCCATAAATTTTAATAAATTGATAAAATAAAAAAAAGTCAACTAAATTTATTAATGCTCGCCACCTAATATTCTCATAAATTCTTCAAACTCCGATCCTTTAAATAGGTAACAAAAGCTTGAATGGCTTTGTAATAAGGAAATAGTTGTTCCTCTTTTATTCGCCATTATTTTAAGTTTGGTTTGGCTCTAAATACACT